ACATGTTTCCTAAAATTTATTATCAGCAAGCAAAGGATTTTGCAAATTAACCATTCCACAAATAATTATAATAATATCATCCACCAAAGGTATTAAACTATTCGCCAATGGCACATTGAGTATATTATATATCCTCATCCTCTGATTTACACGTTCAATATGTACTCTGGCTTTAGAAATTAAAACATTATCTTTCGATTCTTTCTCAGAAAACTGTGATTTTTTTCTTAAAAAATGAGGTCTTATCAGTTTAATGAAATATTCTTGGCAGATATTGTCAATAAGAAAACCTTTATCAACCATTACACTATCATGTCTAGGCTCCAATTTATTGATTAAATTGCTTTGAACAAAAATGGCCTTATCAGAAGTCCTGCCTCCATAGCTTTTTGAAGCAAATGTTATTAGTCCTGCTGGACTTACACCAGTCATTATTTTCAAAGTTTGCCTACCCTTGTAATGTGAATATGTCCTAACTCTACAGCACAAACATTTGGGGTTTTCTATGGGAATCTATAAACAGTCCAAAACTATTCTTACTGTTTTGAAATTTTGAAAACAACTGGGCATATTTTGGCTACACTCTTCTAAAGATGGCCAATGAATTAAACGTTTTAAAATGTTAGACAAATTTGAAATATAGTCAACAAATATTAACTTGCATAATGAAGGCGATACTTTAAATAGAAATTATAAAACATTTAATTTGAGAGCCATTTTGAGCTTCATAAAAACTAAAATAATTCTGTCTGTGGTTGATAATTTATGTGTCTTTTTATCAGGGTAGAATTTCTGCACAAGTGAGGACATTGAGTTTAAAACACTAAATGAATTTATTCCAGTTAAAGAATTTAGGTGTTTGTCTTCTTTAATTGTTGAACTAAATGAAATCATAATATCCCCACTCGACACCTGCACTTGTTTATCAACATATTCACGTCCTGCTTGATTGTTTAAAACTAGCAAATTTTGTACCACAACTTTTTCTTCTTCTGATAAGTCTTGATAGGACCTTGGTGTAATTTCTTGGGCAATTGAAGTGTCTTCTACAGTTTCACACACCGGGGCTTCACTAATGGATGCATTTTCTGCATTTTGAACTTTCCATCTCTTTGACAAACGGTCTTCACGAGAACTAACTGTTGCCTTGGCTGTTTCCTTGCGGTCATCTGAATTAAAATATGGTCTCTTCTTCGGTAAGTTTAAGGAGGGCACAGCAAATCTCATTAATTTTGGTTGCTTCAAGTGTTTTATTGCTGGTCCTGAAACAATATTAAAAAAAAACTTCGTAATAATCAAAACAATTCACCTAATAAACGAAATTTTCTTTTTGTTAATCTTTCTATTAATTAAGATTTTAAACACTGTTGATTATTGTTTTGTTTTATACTTGGTTTTATATCCTTGGTAACAATGCTGATGGATTTGGTTAAGGGTCGCATGTATAGGTTCAGTTTAAGCTTTAAGCTGTGGTTAAAGATAGGCGCAACCCATGTTCAATCCTAAGTCTAACGTTTAACCATAGCTTGAAGCATAAACTGAACCTATAAAATTGACCTTTAATTATTTTGTTGTTTGCATCTCGAAGGGTAAATTACTCCCAGTACCTGAGACCCTGAATATTTTACACCCTGAAAATCAATAATAGCAAGGATTTACAAAAACAAGCAATGTGGAGGGTCAACTACTGCAGGTACCTGAAGGGTCAACCATTGCAAGTACCTGGAGTGTCTTTTATCTTGAAATAATGATCAAATAATTTATAGAAAATATTGCAACTCTTTCTACACCAAATTAAGGATGTCAAATTTATTTACCTTTTGCACAATAATCCTCGTTTCGGAAATGCTTTGAACACACACGCATATGTTTTGTAACGGGCTTCCCCATCAATATTGCGTTTGCCCAAGCCTTTCTTTTATCTATAAGCTCTTCCTGTCCTAGAGCATTAACAATTTTGACACGAATGCCACTATTTTTTTCAGGAAAATAGTGGAAATGAATTTCTGGTTCCCTGCCTTTTTTTGAGTGGCAATCATAGACACAACAATTTGTGTTGTTATACCTAACGGCTCCAGACGACCTAGACGTTGATGGCATAGAACTCATATCACTAATTTTTAACTAAAATAGTCCTTAAAGAAGATAAATTCACAATATAATCACAATAATAACACAGCACAATCTCAAAAACGGCACGAATTCAACAGAATACCGGCATCGCATAACGTAAACAAACGGGCCATCGATATTGCTATACGCGTTTTCTTAGTTCAAATTTTTTCCGCCCAGAGGGCGTCTAGATTTTTGGAATCGCCAATTACATTACATAAAGCAAAATTTAGATAATTTTGTGATGAACTACATATGTGTTTTGTCATTGTGTTTCACAGAATTAAATTATAATTGTAATGAAAGAATGTATTTAACATGTAAAATCCTAATCATTCACTTTGGTCACTAGTGACGAAAGTTAACGTTATGGGATATTCTGTCACTAGTAACGAAAATGACATTTTCGGCTGGTAAAATATGACGAAAGTTGTAAATTTTTTGATGGTTATAGAAACAATTTTTTTTTGAAGATTTAAAATGAACCTTTTTGGGCGTGGCCGTGGTAACCAAAAAAAATGTCCGCCTGCTGTGGTTGTCACCCTATCCCAAACGAATATGCCACTAGGGCAGAACGTCCAAATTTTTGGGCCACGAGCCGCCACTGAATTTTGACATTTAAAGTGACACTTTTCAAAACTCGTTGACGTTATCAAATGCCTTACTTTTCATCACCAACTGGTGATGGAAAGTAAATTTCACCATTACATAATTGCAAAAAATACAGGAACAAAATCTCTGGTACTTTTAGGGCTGAACTACTTGAAGTACTTTGTTGTTATTATATTCTTTGTACGTACATAATATGACAATGTATGGAAAAAAAAACTAATTAGTTATAAATATTAATACTTAACACAATTTGAACAATCATTGATGATATTGACAACATAGTTTTCTGTGTAGAATTAATTAAATGAATAAATTGAATGTTTTTTCCATAGAAGTCTCTCCAAAGACAATTTTCTGTTTATTATATAGTTATGGAATTTTCCACATAGCCCTTAGCGGCTGTATTGTATTAGACTTCCACCCTCTATGCTATTTAATTCTCAGCGAATCATCCACAGAATCTACCAGCCGAGTAGATAGTCGATGATCGCCGAAAGCAATGACCGGTTTGAGCCGCCAAACTTGACAATGAACAATACTAGCTTCCATAGCAATGGAATAGGAAACATCTCTAAACTTACTTGACGATTTAGAAAAAATTATAGAAGGGACATTTTTTATGTTTTTAACTCGAATTTGAATGGATCTGGATCATAATATACAAAATTGGAAAAAATATTGTGTGAAACACGTTGGGAAACACTATTTTTCGTAACTCGCGTTACGAAAAATAGTGCTTTTCCCAACTGGTTGCACAAATAACTATTGTTTCATTAAGCCCAAATTTGCATATTATGTACCTCATGAGGTAACTTGCGTCAGATTTTCAGCGTCACGACGGGCGTCTGCTTTACGTAGGCGTCCAAATATCGACGTCTGCCGGCCGAATTAGGTATCTAGGAGTTTTTCCCTACACATTCTGAAATTTTCAGGCATGTACCAATGAGGTAACAAAAACTCAGATTTTCGTCTTTTTGACGAGTTGTCATTTGTGAAGTTGACCGCTGGACCCCGGCAGACGGTCGGTTTTAAGATATGCACATAAAGTACTTTTATCCAAAAAACTCAAACCTTTTGTACCCGATGAGATAGTTTCTTGACCGTAGGTCTAATATTTGTTCAAGAGAAGAGAGTGACATTATAGTTCGCCTTACGAGTCTAGCACTACGACGTCTGAAGGGCAAGGGGAAATAACGCCATTCATTTCGAGCTTTATGCTGCCTGTCATAGGCGTGCGCGCAGCGTTTTTAAATAATACTTTATAAATGTAGGTCTGTAATATAGATAAATATTAGGGTATTTTCTATTGGAAGTCAAATAGACAATAGTGCAATTTTTTATCCGCATTCTTTCCATAGTGCTAGACTCGTAAGGCGAACATTATTTTCATATATAATATCACAAGAGAAAAATTTTCGAAAGGTATGAAAGTTTGTTGCTTGGCAATTTCGCGAATGTCATATATGACAAAATCACGAGCCGTCAGGCGAGTGATTAGAGAGTTCTCGTGCCGTCCAAATTTCAAATACCGTAACGCTATTTGACAAGTATGACAGTTCTTACGGTATTAGCGTTAACGGAGCCCGCTATCTAACGGAACTTACCGGATGCCTTACCGTAACGCTATGCTATGTCAAAACTAGTTTACGCTCTATTTGTGTCTGCAAAAACAGAAACTTCTAATAATTTCTCCATAAAAAGCACCAAGGGAAAATTAATCAAGCTTAGGAATCTTCAGAATAAACAAAAGTTAGAAAACAAACAAAAAAAGTGGGGTTAGATTACTCAACTCACTGTCAAAATGTAAACAGAATAAGAGATTAGAGCATTTATGTGTCTTCGGGCCCAAGAACTATAAATTACCATGTGAAATACCGTATTGTTAGCGGTACCGTATTAGCGTAGCGTCTGACGCACGAGAACTTTCTATTTTATCAAAAATGGCATGAGCGAAATTGCCAAGCAACAAACTTGAATAAAACCTTGAGAACAATTTTGCCTACAAAATTTTTTCTCGAGTGGTATTCGTCATGACTATTTCACGTAAGATTTTGAAAAAAAAAAATAGAATGCAAAAATATGAATAAAAACTTCAAATTAAAAATATCAGTTTGACAATGTCAAAAAATGGTCGCTGAAATACGATGTTGTTGGTATTGTCCAGGTAGCAATATTGTCAGGTGAATACCGAATTTATTGCCGGTGTAATACACTCTAGTGAAATAGTCATTAAAAGTCCTTCAAGTAACATATACATATATATATATTTTTTTCAGTGATATGGTTAAAAATGAGCCCTCAAGAAATCGCCCCCTAGTTTAGTAAGTCAGTTCAAATTAAGGTATAGAAACGAGTTGCTTAGCTGTTTTAAAATTATGTTTCAATGGTGGAAAAACTACACTTTTCAAAAACAATATTAGAATTAAATAAATTGTTAAATGGTTTATTTTTAAAAAATACAGGGAGCAGGTATTTTTTAGAATGAATTATTTTTGTGAAAAAAAAAGACTTTACTTAGTTAATAAGGCTTTTTGAAAAGTTGATTAAATATACATAAGTACTTTATTTTTGTACATAAGGATGCTTACTTTTTTTCCATTTTTATTTATAATGTCTTGCGAATTGTTTATATTTTTGTAAATAAACTCTAGAAAAGCTATCAGACTTTTTTTTTTATTTTTTATAAATGACCAACGATTCATTTAAAAAAATACCTGTTGTTAATCTCTTTTATTAACTTTCTTGAGACTGTAATTGGTTTATTAACTTGAAATATTTTTTGGAATACTTTTTTGAGGTTTTTAGCTGTTTTACTGTAGATGTGAGTGAGTGTGCGTACTTTTTTTTTTACCATTTTATTAGTGTCTGTAATCAAAAGTGGTGTAGAAGATTTGGGTAGCATTCCCTAATGGAACAAATTTGTAAAGGTTTCCTTCTATTAATTCAAACACATTTCACGAAATTAATCCTATTTTCCCAAATTTTTCATCTATTACAGAGATCAAGCACAACAAAAACAAAATGTATTCCATTAAGAAGGACTGCAAAGAAAGTCTCTTCTCCATTACTTTTTTGTCAGAATTATCTGATTTTATGGCAATTTTAAAACAATAAGTAGTAAGTACGACTTTTTATTGTTCCAAACCAGTGATACACTTTATTTTTATGTGTTTAAATTACAATACGCTTACAATTTTAATAGATAGGTAGGTATGTATATAAAAAAAAAAATCCCATGACATTTTCTCTAGAAACTTATCATAGTGAGTGGCAGGATAATTTTATATTTAAAGTCGCTGCAAGGTGATTCATGCAAAAAATATAAAAAATTAAAAAAAAAACACAAGACAATAGAAAACTCAAGATTTTGCTCTTCCTCACAAAAAGAAGTCCACGAAGGTCAAATCTGGAATTCTTGCAGATGGTTTCATCTTCTTTATTATGTGAAAAGTTACAAAATGTCATCCATTATTATTTTTTCGATTGACTTTTGTGTGATTCCCAGAGCATCATATTAGTAATTCATGATGGTCCATTTTCCATTCAGTATCATCTCATAAATCAAGTACATATGTTTAGTTAAAATTTTTGTTGCTTAGTAAAAAGACTGATTAGATTTTAACGTTTATATAAAGGTGTATATATATTATTGTTTTTTTTTAGGGTGAATTAGTACCAATTACAGTCTTTATAAATGTGAAATTTTGTTTTAAGCAATTTGCTACTTAACTTTCACTAATCGAATTTTTAGGAAAAAAAAATGCAAATAACACTGTCTTAGATATAAATTTTGGTATAGTGTTGTCAACAATGTTAACCTTGCTCAGGAAATTTTGGTGTATAGTAACACTTAAGTAGTCGTTTTAAATATGAAAATTTGTTTGAAATCTAATACAAAAGACAAAAATGAAATTCTAACAATTTGTTTTTATAGGAACCATCTTTGTCTTTGAAAACACCCAAAAAAAAAAATCTGCTTTTAAATAACCATATTCCGTATTCTGTATATAAGTACTAATGTTATTTTCTTTTAGCCCCCCTCGCACCATTTATACCAGTGTATGTAGGACTTTGTATGTAACATTTTTAATGAAAGTATTTATTTTTGTATTTAGTTTAGTGCTTAATTTTTAGGGCCAGGAAAGCGGTTAATTATCGTTATGTAATTTTAATTTTCTCAGAGCGGGATCGATTCCAAGATTTGCATTACAAATTTTGAAAAAAAAAAGAACACAAAACAAATATGAATCATTGAAGTCATCACTAATTTTATAAATTTTGAAACTTCCTTTTGAACTTGTTACATCTGAGCCATCGTTCTTCTAGTAAGTCTTTATTACTTACGTTTTCAATCCTTTTACAAAATTGAAATTATCAAAACAATTTGTAGCCCATACATCTAGGTACTCAGATAACATTATTTTCAATATTACATTATAAATCGTTATTTTTTAATATGAACACACTCCTTGGGCTCTATCTACAAATCTTTAGGTTTCTAGATACAGCATTTATTTTTTAATAATTTGGTCGTCAAAAACATAATTTTAACCTGTTCTGATATGAATCAGAAATTGGTTTCTTTGATTTTGTGAATTGTTAAATTTCTGAAATATCTCATTTCTGATTGCCTAATTAGAACTTGAAGCAATTATTGAACAAATTTGTAAAATTTTCCTAATTTAAATATTGTTTTTTTTTTTATAAATAATGTATATAGACAATTTGGTGTATAGTTTTTCTTTTTGTAACAACATGTGCAGAAAATAAATTGAAGTAGCTAATATAACAGTTTTATACCCCCCTTATAAAATTTTTATAATTTGAAATTTTTGAAGTTTTTTTTACATAATATATTTTTTTACGTGTACCAAAAAATAAAGAACAAATTTTTAATCTGCATGATGCTTATTGTAAATTATTGTCATTAGATTTTTTTTTTTCTGAAAAAAACCCAAATTATGAATGTAATACAAAATTTTAGTATTGTGAAGGGAGAAAAAAAAATTGTTAAAAAGAAAAAAATCGTTTTTGATGTGATTGATGAAATTAGTTTCCTATTCTTTAGATTTATGTAATGACTTTTTTGTAAATATTTCTGAAAATAAAATCGTTAAGAAAACAAACAACTTGTACGTTTTACTTTTAACTATTTACTCACTCATTATTGTTATTTTTACTTCTCCGAAGTCTTAATTAATTGACAAAACGAAATTCATTTTATAAAAAAGAAAAGAATGTGTAGTCACAGCAATCAAATTATAATAATTAATTGACGATGCTGGCAACTTTCTTGACACACAGACTTGAAAACTTGGCCTGATATAAGAGACGCTTCAAGAAATAAATACAATGCGGAGATCCTTATTCAAGACAAAATCTAATTCAGAAATTAATGTAAGTATACAAGCGAAAATTCCAAAGAAAATATTTTTGATTATCTTGAAAGACTCTTACTTCAGATTTAGCATCGGTTTCACACGTCCTAGTCGTGTAAAATGAGATTACTGCAGTTCAAAAATTTGATAACAAATTCAGCAGTAAAATTGCGTACAATATTGATAATTCGCAATCCTGGGGTCGTATTTTCGAATATTCTCACATACGACATTTGATACGATTTCGAATGCTCTCCATTTAATTTACATTGCTGTCAATCAAATTTCGTGAACGAAATGTACTCGAATGAATTCGAAAATACGACCCCTGAAACACTAGATGCAGCAACTACTAAGTTCGATTATTGTCCTATTATACTAGGTACAGTCGTAAGCATGAAAAATGGGACACCCGATTTTTCCTATCGTAAAACGAGCTTACCAGCTGCACCGTGGCAATAACAGGGATTGTCATATTTGACAGAAAATCCGTTGTACAGGGTGTCCCAAATTCGAGGGTGACCATTGAGATATCGGAAACTATAAGAGATACGAGGTCGGTTGAATTATGGCAAAGTTGCACAATTTTATGACCAATAAAATGCCGTTTTGAAATTTGAAAAATTCCGAATACTTCCCAAAATATTCGGAAAAAACCAAAATTTTGCAAAATCATTTTTATTTTTTCCTGAGTCTATTTGAAGAGCAATTTCAAAATAAATGTCACTTCATCGTTGTCACTTTTTCCCCTTTACAAGATGTTGCTACCAAATTTCAGATTCGACGTTTCGTCTTTGGGCGGCCATCATCAACTTTATTTTTTTAAATACGGATCCTTATTTTTTATTTTAGATTTTATGAGCCTCTGATGTCCCAAAACCTATGACGTATCGGACTTATTCGAAAAATTTATATTATTGGCACTTTCCATAAGAACTTAATGTGTTAGAGAGAGACAGAGAAGAGAATTTTGGTAAAAAATTACTAAAAATTGAAAAAAATATTTTTTTCTGCGATTGACAAGAAATGTCAGCATTTTTGACCAGTTGACAGGTCGCAAAACTCAATATTCTGGTATTTCAATTATGTTTCAATAGTTGCTAAGGAATCAATGAATAACAATACGGGAAACACTTTTCCGGCCTAGGCCGGGAAAGTGATTCTCGTATTGCTGAATAATTGGAACTTAAAGACAAACATTTAACAGGTATTTAACCGATCGCAGAAAAAATAGTATGTGTATTTCGGTGGAAAAGCACATTCTAGGCCTTCGGTGTTTGCCGGCCTCGGCTACGCCTCGCCCGTCAACTTACACCGTCGGCCGAGAATGTGTCACTTTTCCACCTAAATACCAGTGGCGTAACTTCAGGTTTTGGACCTGGGGGCAGAGTGGTTTGGCGAGGCCCTGTTTGTCTAGGCCCCCACATTCCGTTATTTTTCATTCGTTCGAATTACTGCGATTCGGAAAGTCATGCTAAATCGTAGAGCTGTTTCGCCCACACACTATGTGAATCCCATACTTATCTTTAGTCGCTCACGCACGATGGACAGAAGAAAATTATTAGTAGTGGCAGTGGCAGGTTTGGTTTTAAGATAGTAATATACTCTAAAGACTTTATGCGCCATAAACAAGGAAACTGTCTATACAAAATCAATCAAAACCTCTTTTTATTGAGGGCATTTTGATCCATGTTTAGTAAAAATTTGAATACACACACACACACAACAGAGTCCTTATTTTTGGAACAGGGGAGCAGCGTTCCCAGGAGAACGAGTGTTCTGTCTTTGTTACTTAATATATTATCACTTGTATATCATTGAAAAAGTCGGAACACTCGTTCGCCTGGGAACGCTGCTCCTCTGTTTCAAGAATAAGGACCCTGGTGCCAACTCTTCGCTCGCCGCTCATATAAAAAACACGATGATTTTGAAGGAATTTCCCCACACCCTTCAGTTTGGTCCGTCAAAAGACAAACCTAAGGCCAAATTATGGACCGAGCGGTAATGTCATTGGCTGGTAAAACTAAAGATTGAATTCAATTTTCAGTTTTACCAACAGGATAAAGGACCCCGCAATATTTAAATGGAAATTGGTTACCTGTGATATTTGGATGAAATTTAAATATGTTATTGGGGATGCCGTAAGCAACATTTTTTACCATGGGCGCAACCTTGTATATATGACAGGTGAGGCGGTATCAGCTGTCAAATTTTGGAATCTAATATTCAAAAGCGAGGTAACTATGGCAGATTTTGATGAAGTAAATATCTATTTCCACTAAGTCGACCAAGGTAAATCGAAAAATGTCAACAATTTTGACATCTGTCAAAACCCTGCCAAACGACAGCACTCATACTTTCCAGTTTTCAATATTTCATGAGGTGTCATTCGACATTTTTAGCTTATGTAAATTTTGAGTTCAAAAATTGGAAAAAAAAATTACAGAACTGTCCAAACCTGTCATTTATTTTCGTAGGAAAAAATATCACCATCTAGTTCTAAGGTAGTTTATTTGTGATAAAACATTAAACAAAGCTCAGAGACATTAAATTTTGACAGCTGTTAAATCTGAAACCCGCGTGTTAAGTTTTTTAATGCTTTATCATAAATAAGCATAACTTAAATAATTGGAACAGAGCTAGATTTGAGTCATTTTTCAATTAGAGCATTGTCAGATTTTGACAGCTGTCAAAATTTGATGTCTATGAGCTATGTTTAATGTTTTATCACCAATAAACAACCATAAAACGAAAGAGAACCAAATTGGAATCTTTTATTCTACTAAAACAAATGACAGGTTTTGACAGTTCGGTATTTTTTTTTCCAATTTTTGAACTCAGAATTTACATTAGTTAAAAATGTCAAATGACACATCATGAAATATTGAACATTGAAAAAAATAAGTGCTGCCGTTTGGCAGGATTTTGACAGATATCAAAATGGTTGACATTTTTCGATTTACCTTGGTCAACTTAGTAGAAATCGATATTTACTTCATCACAAATCTGCCATAGTTACCTTGCTTTTGAATATTAGATTCCAAAATTTGACAGCTGATACCGCCTCACCTGTCATATATACAAGGTTGCGCCCATGGTAAAAAATGTTGCTTACGACATCCCCAATAACATATTTAAATTTCATCCAAATATCACGGGTAACCAATTTCCATTTAAATATTGCGGGGTCCTTTATCCTGTTGGTAAAACTGAAAATTGAATTCCATTTTTAGTTTTACCAGCCAAAGACATTACCAATCGTTCCATAATTTGGCACTAAGGCCCGGTTTATTCATCCTCTGATAAACTTGCTGGTAATTATCTGCAAGATAAATTGACTGTTCTTTAATTCTGGTCGACGGATAACTATAGTCGTATTCACGAGAGAGTTTGAATTTTGACCGTTATTTTCACCAGTTGAAAATAAATAAAATCCCCAGATCTGTCCCTTTTTCTGACAACTATCAAATAATGATACATGACATTTTGATTTGACACATAAAAATAACAGATTCGGGTTTTTGAATTTCGAATTTTTGTGTGAAATCTTTCAGTTTTTTGCCGTTTACTGCATTATTTTTTTATTTGTTATTCTCGCAATCGGTTTTTTGGTTTTTTATGTAGTTGTTCTGTGCCTTTGTGTTTCGGTGTTGCGTTTTAGTTTAAATTTAAGTGTTTACTCTTATTATAAGTGTTTACTTTGGACTCTAATTTTGGGATTTTTGAATTTTAATAACTTAACTTCCTTTAAAGAAATTGAAAATAAATTTTTATTCTGAAATGTATATCACTTTTCTAAATACGACCCTGTCGTTTATCCCAGCTGATGGAATCGAAGCGCTAACGCATGCTGACAACCTAAAGAAAAAGTTTACTAAAAATGTCAACGCGAACTGTCAACTTCACTTTCTATCGTGATTTAGTCTATACCTGACCAACGGGATTACATATTACGTTTATATCCGTCAGATTGCATACCTGACAGTTTATCAGAAGGTGAATAAACCGGCCCTAACTCATAAGAACCAAAAAATAATTATTTTACGGAAACCGCCTACCATCTTCCACGCTAACAGGTAACATTACCGATCGCCATTTTACTTTTTGCGGAATACCTATACGTTTTCCAAATAAATGTAGGTAGTAAGTGGATAAGTGAGTCAGCAAAATTTTTAATTCAAAAGAAAAACTAGTCTGCCTCCACAAATACTTTATTCGTTTTAAATTAAACAGCCCTACATGTTTCGGGACTAGTAAATCCCATCATCAGGGGCAATAAATTAGCTCATAATGTTAACAGGAATGGATATCATAGGCTGCCAGTTCATGCTAATGCTGAAAAATTTAAATGAGTTTTTTTAACATGATCTATGATATCCAGGAAGATTTAGAGTTTTTTTTTATTTAAATTTCAACTCCACTTTGAGATATGGACTACTCTTCAATTTAAAATTTTTAATGATTTTCGTATTTTCTTGATTACAATCAGGTTTCGTAAGACATTATTTTAAGAATCGTACGAATATGTTTTTTGACTGTGAAATTACTTTTGCATAGGAGCTCGGATGCGGCCCAAAGCCTCTGGGCCGGGGGGCCACGGCCCCCTCTGCCCCC